ATAATTCAGGACATGATAATAGCCGGTGAGTTTTTAATAATAACTTTCAAGGTGGTAAAAAAAAGGTGCTTTAAAAAAATTGTAAGTGCGTATGAGATTAATGACACGAACATTATTTTTTCCAGCTGTTACAGGCATTTCGAAAAACGCAAACATCACATTAAGAGAAACATTCCTATCAGTGAAGGAACATTATCCTGTCCAAAGAAAAATAGTAGATGAATTCAATCTGCCTAAATATCAGCAATGATCTAGAAAGTAGTTATTACAAAGGTAGTAAAATTGGTTACCAATTATGAATTGTAAACGTTTCTACAACATACAGGAGACGTCCTTAATAATAAAATACATGAAGCGGAAGCGGTCAGTTCACAAAGTACCGTCATGCGATGAATTGGAGGCGTTTAACTTGTCAATTATTGTGATACTGAATATCATCAATTTGAACGTTTTTAATCTATTTATTTGACTAAAAGTTCAAACATTTTGTCAATACTTCGACTCTACGTAATTTCGGTTTTATGATATTTTGGTTTGGCGTTTTGAACATTTTGCTCTATAAACCTAAACGTTGGAGGTTTCTTGTGTGATTATTATAGTTAATATTGGAGTAATATATTTTAGTACAGTATATGGGATTTGCGAATAAACTTTTGTCACCTGTATTCGGATTTGGCAATCTTGATATTTAGGCCTTAATTTACAAGCGTTCTAATCAATTGCTCTTCACTAACGCAATACAGCTAAGTTTAGACGCAACGAAAACATAACTGTAATGTCCAGCCTTTGGTAGGTTTGCATTAACTTTTGAAGGTACCATGCGTGTCGGACTAGAGTTGGTAGCAGTGATAGCAATTATCTGGAGGAGAAAAGAAAAATTAAGCCTGTAGGGTTATGGTCTACTATGATATTAGTACCGCTCTAATAATAGACCTCATCCTAAAATTGTAGGGTTGCCATGATATAACTGCCTAATCTCGACGACGATTGCATTTAAGACCGTTTTTGCTGAATTATACACCAACGTGTAGGATCCAACATCTGGTCTCTTGGGAGTTCCGTTAAGAGCTTATCAAGGACCATTTTACCAAAATACGGTCATAGTTACATTCAGGTTGTTAAACATACATTCTTATCAACTGATTTCAGAACTAAACATGTCAACGGCATTGTACAGCTCGTATAGCCAAAACGTAAAAGTATTTCAAGAAAATAGAAATATATCCATGATTTGCTTCGGTCGCCGTGTGCAAATAATTATCTGTCACGCGTTTATAGAGGTATCATGTATCAGTTTGACGTATCAGATCAACAGGTTTGAGTGAGTTCATTCCAAGCTTTTTGAACAACGGGGCTATATCATTAGTAGCCAGGACTTCAGCTGTCATTCATAAAGCAAGTAGAAGGAGACATGAAGTAATATTAGGAAAACACATTGGCTGCTTCTGTAACGACATGATGCATGTGGTTGATACTTTACGTATACAATGTGTCTGTGAACTTTTCAACAACTATTTGTTGCCGTGTGGCCATATTTTGAATGATAATGCCGAACATCCAATTCGTGAAGGCATGTGTTTATTTGTTGATCACTATGACTACCATGGGTGCTTTTCGACATAGCAATCGTTGAACAAGGAAATACATGATGAACCTTATTCCTCGTGCGACGGATATAATGTTAAGTTCCATACAGAGCGAAGATCTGCCAAGGACTAGCACTGGTAACTACCACTCAATCCACGCTCTTGGTTAACTTCGGTCTGATAACCTTATTTACTCATGCTTCGAAGCATGCTATGTATACCAACTGTGCGTACAATTGATGATGAAGAAGCTACATCGCCAGAATCAACTATAGTGATTGGCTAAAGTTATGTTTTCAGATAACAAGACTCTTGATATCGTAATTTTTTTCAGTTCATATAGCCTTCAACTTATTATCATAGAGATTCATAGAGCGAGTGCACTATGCATTGTGTGTTTCTCAAAGATAAGGATGATTTTTTGCATCTGGTGCTGGTAGATGACGATTATAAGCTTGAGAACCATGCATTTAAACTTCCAGACCATTTATTAAGTGCTGCAATCACTAGATAGTCTTCGGCACTATTGAACAACTTAAAAATATAACAGCAGTTACTTTCAACCGTCATTAGGCTGATTTTGTGAAGCTTTCGTTGCGGTATCCACAGGTAAGACAAAATATGCTCGACATTCATTAGCATTATCATCAACGAAAAGAATTAGCTCAGAATTACTATCTGCGCACATACGTCAGAGACCACAGTTGTTTATCCATGAACTTAAGTTATTCATACTCAGTGTGATTTCAGAGGTTCATATTTTCTTAAATCATTTATGGAAGAAGAACTTATTTATGAGGTCCTAATTTAACTATTGAGAGAAGTGGGATTAAGATGCTAGAAAACGAACAGGACTGAGTGATAGTCATCAAACCTTATTCTAGGAAGAATTTTTAGTGACATTGAGCCTTAACAACACAATCATCAAGGCTGAACACGAGACTACTCGGGAAAAACAATTGACGCGGAGAATAACCCAAGGATCGAAATGGCGGGAACAAGGAATTGAATTAATTGGAGTTGATTGTATGGCATGGCTCGGCCATGCTGGCGTGGTCCTTGTTGAATGTTACCTTTATCTTTTATTCATATTAAATATGTTGTTCTATCTCTAGCCTAAGCTTGTTCTCCATCATGTATTGGTGATTGTTACGATGCAATGAGTTGGTGTAGACGATGGTGTGTCTTCCATGTAACATCTTATAGATTAGGCAGTTATATCATGGCAACTCTACAATTTTAGGATGAGGTCTATTATTAGAGCGGTACTAATATCATAGTAGACCAAAATTCGACAAATTCTCTCTCAAGAATCCTTTTAACTTAGAATTAGCTTCATGGACAACGTTTTTTATTCAGTTACTCACAGTAGACTTCCACTAGTCGACGTTTCAAAGTTACTAACAATTACTAACATTTAACAATTGCCTCTAGACTTCCAAGAGTACTTGCAATATATATGAATACTTTGTTAACCATGATATTCAAAATATCACTGTCAGAGTGACAATGTTCTTATGACCCTCACGAGCACAAGTAATTTGAATAAACATGAACGGCACGGCTTCAGGAAAGGATTTTTGGACGTAACATACTTCGTGATATCAAAATAATAAATGGGCGAAAATGTTTGGTAATGGCACACTAGATATATTTCTGTGTTGGTTTTCGCAAATATTTTATATAATGTTACGTCATAGGCTCATACTAGAGTTGCAGGATTCCTGAAAGTTTCTAGTCCAGTGCTTAGGTAGTTCAAGGGCCTTAAGGCAGGCAGTCGACTAAAGTGAGATAATCCGCAAATAGATTTCCCGGAAAGAGTACTCTATGGAATACCTTGTAGCGTGGCGTCGGGTTGAGATTAACTATGAACACCGCTACCAAGAAACACGTGCCAAATAGATCAGAAGGCGTAAGAAGCTCGTTCCAAATGACTCCATAAAATCCCCGAGAAGCCGAATACCAGAAGGCAATTAATGGACCAAGTCGATGTTTATTTGCTGGCGATCTCGTGGCATCGAAAGGATATCGAGATCGTGCCAGGATACAAGCTTGGTTACAGAACGTAACCGAATCCGCGCGAAGTTACAATCAAAGTGTAAGTATAAGAATGGAAGCACAAAATAGCTGCCATTAGCACAGTCAAACAAAAGCACGTTAAAACAAACACTGGTACAGTTGGTTATAATAATAATTGTTTTTATTAAACCAGTCGTGTTCTCGTGATAAACGTGAGTCACTACAACCTCAAGTATCTGATCTCGGTCATTTACTGTCTTTACTTAGTGTTAACGAATTCCCGTATATCATAAAGCCTCTGTTGCTGCTGATGAATTCAACATTTCATGAGCAGTCACAAAGAATGTCAGCAAACTAATATTTCAGTCCGACCTTTATGCTCCGCCCACCTCGTCTGCATTGCGGATGATGCCTGTTCATGGTGAAATTGTGTTTACACGCAAATCGGACACCCACACGACAATAAGTATGACACTGTAGGCACATTATGGCTTTAAGCTCTGTCTCGTGATCTCACGATAGATCGTGACTTCCAGGCCGCCAACATAAGGTAAACCTGAATGTAGTATCAATTTATATTGAACAGTCATTGGCCATACTCATGCCTAATAAAACATGAACCCGTGTGAGGTGCAAACCGACTACTTTCCCATGTGACTTCAGGAAATATAACCTCACTATACTATGCAATTAGGGTTCATATTTTCAATTAACTCATCCGAGGGGTGGTGAGAAAGTCACAGAGACGTAGAAAACAAACGATTTGTGCTCTTAGCGTTCTGTCCTTAAACCGTAAGTCTAAAAATCTGGGAGTGAATTCAAAATCACGAAATCAGTTCGAGGACTCAAATTTAAACCTTACGAAGAGCGCCTCCATTCACTAGACCTTTATCCATTAAAATATAGGCGTCTTAGAGGTGATCTATTAATGGCTTATAGTATTCTTAACACTTCTGGACATCCTCTTAAACACCTACTTAAGCTTAGTTCGAATAATAACCTAAGGGGTAACACCCAGAAACTGGAAACACAATATAGCAAGACGGAATGTAGACACAACTTCTACTCCTTAAGAGCTGTCAAATGCTGGAACTCGCTGCCGGGTGAGCTAGCCCATGCGACTTCCCAGGAGTCCTTCAAGAGGCAACTTGACTTATTCTTAAGGACCAATAACAGCATCATACTATGATTTATCAATTTCTTTTTCCTCTTTTATTGTTAACATACCTAGGTTCCTGCCTGGAGGATTTGGTGATCCTCTGCTACTAGACACGGAAGCCTGTTAAGCGAAAGCTTCTATTCCGTCCACAACCATCTGAACCATTTGAATATTGGAACATTAGCCTTCAAGGTCTTATATAACCGCCCAAAAAGAAATCGTGGAAATTAGTTTCAATGATGAGGTTCTTTGCTTTTGAATATTAACTCTTTCATCAGTTTCTCATCTAGGTTGTGTTGTTTGCGAAACCTTACTGGTTTCAATGAAGTTTTTGGACCAGTATCCAAAGTTTCAGTAGGACTTTTACGACCATCGTCAGTCGTACGTACAGCCAAAGCAGCTAAAGGTAGTGCGAGCGAAAAAGTTCGTAGGCAAGCTGAAAAGGAAATGCAGTCGTTTTGGGACAGAAATGCTACTGAAAGGCGGCCCTGGTCTCCCCACCTTCAGGTTTACTCGGCACCTTTGGTAATGAGATTCTCTTTTCTACATCGGGCGACGGGGATTGCTATGGCTATTGGTAAGTCTTTTTATAAACTAGTATGTTAACAATAAGAATATAAAAATATAAAGTGATTTGTGATATTTTTGTAACAATAATTACTATTGAGTGCCGTTAGTGATACGTGTCGGAGATGCTGACTTTGCGTTTTTCAAATCAAAAGATTTCGTATGATGTGCATAATAGAATGCAAAATATTGTTGGAATAAAACCACTCTTGTAAATTGAAGGTACCGATTGTCTTTGAAATTTGAGAGTTTTGATCATTGAACGATCTGATGTAAAAGGTATAATTGTCGTTTGGCTTGTAGTTTTCGGTGGTATTGAAGGTTAATTAGTTAGATTATGTTATTTTAAATGCCTAATCAGGTGGAGGAGATAAGCTCATCATACGTTCATCTGATTGTTAGAGGTATAGATGACGGTTAAGCGTAAAAAGTGTATTAGCGCTCGTGAGCATTTTGCACAGATTTTAAGGTTCATAAGTAACTGACTAAACTTTTTCCCTAACTGTATTGTTTGTACTTGATCATGTTGTTTGTAGTGTTGCTTTCATTTTCGTTGACGTTCTTTTCTTGGCTAGATCTCTTTGTTTCTATCATATAATTTTTTTCAAAGTGTGGTCATCTGTAGGAATTGGTGCTTTCTTTTTCACTGGACATTATGACTCCTTACTTGATTATGTAAAAAACATGCATTTGGGTACTTCCGTCATAACCGCATGCAAGTTTATTCTATGTTACCCGTTGGTTTACCACTATTTGAACGGGATAAGACACTTGGTAAGCATTCATTGTATTGTGAATTATTCCTTTTTGTATGCTGTAACCAAACGAGCCCATAAAAGTTTAAGGTTTCATATCTATTACTTCGATTCCAACGAGGGTATTTTTAAACTATTATATGCCTTATTCACCAGAATATTAATCTGTTATAGCTGTTCTCTTGATGAAACGGACTCAGTGGGACATTCTTATGAAATCTCATATATATATATATATATATATATGCGCAACCTAAGCGTGCTCCCAATCAGAATTACGTTCCTATATTCGAGAAAAATGCAAATAATGTAAAGCACCATGTGACTGTTTATCGTCTTAATTTGTCGCATATTTCAACAACATAGAAATAGTGTCAGCAATGATACAGTAATTTGCGAATTATAAATGGATATTTGGAGGGCGGAAAACAAATTATTATTAGGATACGGATGGCATAGTTACTGCTTTGTATTTGGGATTTTTAAAATATCTTCTTTTCTGTTTTGTATATTGTGTTACACCTCAGTCTCCCTATATAGTGGTCTCAGGATGAACATTCCTTCCCTGATTGACTAAGTGCTCAGGTAGCTCTTCCTTGGGCATACCAGAGATAGTTTCATAATAATGAATCAGCCCTCCTATTGCGATTTCCCTGGGTCAAGGACGAATATTTGCTCTCACCAGAGTGTGGTTAGTGTTCAAACATGTATACTGTTATGTGAAAAACCATCCACACCTGACAACGCTTCTGGTCGACTCTCTAATAATGGGTAGTAAAAATGTCAAATGTCGAGTGGTGGTTCGCACCTATTTTGTACAACAGCTTAATGATGTCACATAAAAAATCATAGTCCGATTCTGTATGTTGGCCTAAAGTATTGGTTAGTAAGGCTTATTTGATTCGTGTCCATACAATGAAAGCTTCGATACAGTTTGAAACGGTTTCATGAGATATGGAATAACATTTCTCAAGACTGCATCACTAGCATTGGTTACATGTGAAAGTGAAGATGAAATCTGAGGAAGGCTGATGATAGGAATAGAAAAATATTTTAAGGATAGGATTTTTACTATGGATAGTATTATGTTAAGTGCTGCTAGAGTTGTGCAAATGACTGACACTTCCAGGTTACCTACACTGTAAAGAAATTTCTTTTTGGGAGGCTTAAATAATGGAGTGTCAATCAATGGCTCAAGAGATTTCTGCTTAAAACTGACCATAAACGTTTTTTGTTGTTGTAAAAACTACTCTGTATACCTTAATTTCAGGTTTTGAAATTTGTATAGTAAATTAATTAGCTCATTCGCTAAGTATTTGGATGTGGGTCACCCTAACTTTAAGTGTGGGGCTCGTATCTAGAACTCAGTCAAATGCCTTAACCAACAATCCACCTGAAATACGTTAGGCGAGGCAAGTTGGGCCTCATTTAAGGTAAGACTCTTCTGACTTCCACTGTAGAAAGGCAGGATAATTGGAGGTGCTATTTATTTATGGGAAACACCTTACCATACTGGTGTATCTCACTACAATCAAAAACATGACTGCAACTCTTGAACTTAACGAACTCAGTTTTACTAATCTTCAACTGATGTGCTTAACATGGTAGAATCTCAGGGAGTATGTATTCCAGTCAATACAGGCTGATTGTGCTATCATGGTAGGCAAGCCCGATTGTCGCGTTAGGGTAATTTATCATGTTTTTAGAAAGGATAAAATGCCATCAAGGCTTTTAGCCTAAACAGTACAGCTTCATTATATGGCGTAACTACACTGATACCAATGCCTCTGGCGTATTAGTCGAATGCTCAACAATGTTGCATTGGTTGCCACTCAACTTAAAAATGACCTCTTTATGAAATAAGTAACTTGTTTGGTGGAAATGAACTAAAAAATTCCACTTTATTCATGGCTCATTTTCAGAGACGTTTATTGAGTTTCACTACTAGCTTTTTATTTTATGGAAAATCTGTGATTGTATAATTTATTTATTTTACTAGGCTTGGGACTACGCTATTGGCTTTCCTATCAAAACATGTAATACGACTGGATTTATTGCTTTAGGATCATCTTTAGTTGTTTCTGCTATCTTAGCTTGCATCCGATTATAACATTGTCCTGTACGGTATTCGGGTTCATCCTGTTATTTTCTCTGCTTCCTATTGATTATATGTTGCCAAAACATAATCTATTGTTCGTAAATATTAATTTTAGTACGTATATTTGTATTTTTTCTACAAATACATTAACAATTGCGTTACTTCATGACGAAAGATGTCTTCATTCACTCTAGCATTTACACTACTTGGTTTCGGTGTGTTCGATTATTGTAACGAATAGTTGATGTTGTGTGACATGGCTCAGGATTGGTCGCAATGGCGCAGATACAGTTACATTATCTTATGCTTTTTATCCATCGAATTCTTTCCTTTTCAAGTGATATTCTTTATTTTTTCAAATAAATTGGACATCATGTAAAATGTTAGTCGTAAAATAATCATGTATTTGTGACATCCCAATCAACAGTAGTTAGAATTTCCGCTTTATCGTATTCTCGGAAAAACGTATCTTCTACCTACATAAATCGGATTTCCTCGTTTGTTAATTTTAGAGTCGGAACCGCGTTTTATTGGTTTAAAAGGCCTGATTTCAGTCATTCAGTTATGGATTATAACTTCATCCCATGTACCGAAAATCAGACAGTCAATTGGTAATTTATACCCGACCGTTGCTTCTACCTTGACATGATAGTCGGGCTTTCCCATCGTGGTGAGCCAGTCGAGCTATACTAGTTGGAAAAATAGTTCCTCAAGGTTCTACGGTGCCAGACAGGTGGGTTAAATAGCTGTAAGACTAGAAGCAACAAAGCCAAGGTCCGATGGCGAAGTCGTACTACTGACTGTACAGAGGTGTGACGGCAGTGAGGTGTTTCCTTCAGACAACCAGCATGATAGCGATGCTGTATTCCTACAAAGGAAGGGTAGGGTTACTAAAGGTCGATCCTAAAAATACATACCTCGTTTTATCCTACAGATATCCGTCTTCGGCGGTAAGGTCTCAACAAGTACTGAGCTAACGCAAAAATTACCCACAAGAAGATCGTGTGTGACCGGCCTGAAGAGGTTGTACCTTGAGCTCTGCGGTCATGCTCTCAGGCCACTAAGACCAACTCTAACCCGATTACCTTTTCAGGTACCTCCAGAAGAACCCTTCAACGATGTAGAAAACCGTCCTCATATCTCTAACAGCACTCAAGACCACTGATTTCATAAACACTTTCCTTCAATTCCTGTTATTCATCTTACCTTGACTACCAACTCTAAACTTCCTGCTTCGACTTGCTCCTCAAGTGTCACTATGGCCAACTATTCTAGTGCGCGAAATACTGTCCCAAGTCTATTGACACCGCGCTCGAAACGACACATTCGAGTCTTCAACGTACGCACCCTATGTCAAATCGGCCAGCAGACTTCCTTGGCTAAAACCCTAGAATCTCGTACCATTGATGTTTGCTGTGTCTCTGAAACATGCATAAAGGATCCTAGTGTGGTCATTCACTTGACCTCACCTCACCAAAACGGGCAGCCGACGAGATATACCCTCCGTTTACCTGGTGACCCGATGACTAGTTCTCATGGACTGGCGGGTATAGGCATAGCACTGAGTACGAGGGTAGAACAAACACTATTAAAATGGATCCGCGTTAACAGTCGACTATATGCTGTCTGACCAAACGACTCCGTAAGAACACGTTGTTACCTTTTCGTGATTTATACCAACGCTCCCACTGACTGAAGCCCGGATGGAGTGAGAAATAACTTTTACAGAAATCTCTCTGGAGTTCCTTAAGAAGCTAAACACTCGGACATAATACTTGTAGCAGGTGAATTTAATGCCCAAGTAGGTAGCTCAAACAGAACAGAAAGACATTTAGGTGGGCATTTTGGTATTCCGGCTCAGAGAACAGATAACAGTGATCGTCTGCTGCAACTGTGCCCAGACAATCGTTTATTTTTAACAAGCATTAGTTTTAAACACAAGGAGGGACATCGTCTAAACTGGCGGTCGCCTGCACCAAACCAACAATGGACTCAACTAGACCATATTGCCATCAGTCATCGTTGTTGAGGTTCGAAAGAAGACTACTGCTCGTTCTGGAATACATGCTTGGACTCCGATCATGTTCTAATACAAGCACGTATTTGCTTGTGCTTCACTGGACACGGTAAAGCCACATTAAGAAGACTCATTCTAGTTAAACTCAGTGACGAGGAAGTCAAAAGTAGATTCCAGGAACAACTTAGGCAATTCCGAAAACGAGGCCGACCCGGATGTTGCTTAGCAAGATATACAAACAGCAGTGACATCTACTAGTGATTTGAAACAAAGGACCACGAATAACCAGTGCATTTGTGCTACATCTTTTGCACTGCTAGACTCTCGTAAACTTATCCCATCAGGCTCCAAACACGATGATGAGCGAAAACAAATCAAATCTAGGTTAGCCCAAAGTCTATGGAACGATCGTGAGCAGTGGTGGGCAACGAAAGCAAAACAGATGGAAATGGCAGCGACTGTAGGTAACACCAGGCAGCTTTCCAGACTAATAAAAGAAACCGAAATTGAGAAGTCAAGTGTAAGACAATCTCTAAAAAAGACAACATCCTATTCTGCTCGCAGTACAGAGGTTTAGAACGATGGAGGAAACGCTTTAAGGAGAAGTTGGGCTTGCCTCCAACCATTTCACAGCTACCTACCATTTTTAAACATCCTGAACGGAACATTGAAATAGGCCCTTGACTCTAATTGAAGTTCAAAAAGCTGTAGCTAGTCTGAAACGAGGAAGAGCAGATGGATTGGCTCAAGAGGTCTTTAAGTAAGGTGGTCCAATTTTAGCGATTAGGTTGATTAATATTTTAGCTAAAATCTGGGAGTTGGATATAATCCCATCTGACTGATCGCAATCACTGATTGTCCCTATATATAAGAAGGAGTCAAAATCATCCTGTGATAACCATGGAGGGACTAGTTCAACTAATATAGCATGTAAAATACCAGCCTCAATTGTTGTCGGACGCCTAACTAAGACTCGTGAACTGCAAACACGAGGAAATCAGGCTGACTTCAAACCTGGTCGTGGCTGCATCGACCACATATTCACCATTCGCCAGATCTTAGAACACAGACATGCTTATCGGCGTCCGACAATGAAAGTTTATCTTGACTTAAAAGCAGCATTTGACTCTGTAGACCGAGAGGTTCTGTGTCAGTGTCTGTCATTGAAAAGCGTTCCTCAGAAGTACATAAACCTTGTGAAGGCTCTTTACTCGAACACTACCAGTCGGGTCAGTGCTTATGGAAAGTTTTCATCTGATTTTTCAACTTCAAGTGTTGTCCGTCAAGGCATTCCACTATCTCCATTTTTGTTCAATTTCATCATAGACCTACTGCTGGGAATAACGTTCTCGTTGACTTAATTTTTGGGGTATTGACCTCCTACGAGGAGGGCTACTTATTGACTTAGAATACACAAATGACATAGTGCTGTTTGGTGAAGACGTGGATAAAATGCAAAGTATTTTGGTAGCACTGAGCAACAATGTCAGGATGTTTGGGATGTGTTTCTCCCCCTCTAAATGCAAGTTGTTGCTTCAGCGCTGACTTGGGTCAACACCTGAACTGTGGATAAGGAGTGAAGTAGTCGAACACGTCGACAACTTCACTTATCTTGGAAATCTGATCAGCCCTAATGGGTTGGTGTCTGACGAAATCTGATCACGGATTCGAAGTGGTTGTTTGACTTATGCCAACTTACGTCGCCTATGGCGAAGGCGAGATATCCGTCTATCAATTAAGGGATGAGTATACAGAACAGCAGTTGGTTGTGTTTTACTTTGTGGCTGCGAGACGTGGCCAGTAGGGATAGAGAGAGGGTACTTGCAAGTTACTAGTATTTGATTCCATATGTTTCAGAAAGATTTCCAGCACTGCTGGGATCATCGGGTAATAGTGAGTAGTAATGAGGTTAGACTAAGGGTATTAGGGAATGATGGTAAATCAATTGATGAGTTGAATCTTCATCGACTGAGTTGATTGGGCCACGTCCGACATACTTTTAAACGCCGTTTACCACGAGTTGCAATGCTGACAAGTGTTGGAGACTGTTGGAAGAAAGTTAGGGGTGGCCAAGCCGAAACGTGGCATCGATTCTTGGAGTCACAAACTTCTAGTTTGAGCCATGTTGGTAGATGCAGTCTACTTTGTTTTAGTTTGTCTGACTATTGTAACTAGTGGTTGGATACTGTGGGTGACATGGCTCAGAATCTATCACAATTGGGTGGGTGTATACACTCTTTGTCTTCCATTAAACCGTGATATTAAAATTGCTTCATATCTCTCTTTCTACGATCTAATTCTTTCTTCCTGTACTATATGTTTATACATAATCTCTCTTTTATTCATTACTATCATTGAAGTGACTACTTTTATGAATTCGGTGTTCATCATGCTGTGCTAATGAGGTGTGGTAACTTGGAGCGATGTATATATGTGTCTGGTTCTGCTATGTAGATGACTGACTAACTGGTAATTTGGAAGAAAGCTATTAACCAAGCACAGATTTTCGTACTGTTCAGTCTATGAGCATACTTGTAATATGAGCGGTAGTAATATACTTAGTTGTCCAGATGGGAATCGGGCATCTAAATCACACTCGTTGTAATCAGTAAGTCGTTATTAAATAGTTATCATTACCATAGTGTTAAAGATGATAGTACTATAGTTTGTTGTAGAATATGATTTCCTGTCGTGTTATTTTTTTGGCATGTTAAGTAAAACTGTTCTAGTGAAAAAGAATAGGAGATTAAGCCACGTACGCCGCATTTTCTGGTGTTTATGAGTTTTTATCCTTTCATGAATATATTTAGAACCATTATATACTAATCCATTCTAATCAAAATGCTCTTTTAAAAAATTGAATGAAGTTTAGAATTTATTCAAAAAAGTCAAGAATGCTTTATCATGTGTTTTTTCACTATTTACAAACATGCAGGAACCAAAATACAACCATTTATTAGATTATATAACTTAATTCCATATATATCTTTTTAAAAATATAAAAAGTATGGAATAACAGTCATCATGTTGAACAACAGTAGCAGTTTTATATACAGCTGAACAGTTAATGTAGCATTCGCAACAGCATTTTGAGCATCTAAACAAAATTTCCGGTAAAAAGACTCAGTATTTCAAGTAAACTTGGTTTAAAATATAT